TACTGTGGGGAGGGTGTGGTTGCTGGGGAGAGAGAGAGAGAGAGAGAGAGAGAGAGAGACCACTCCCCCTCCCCAGGGGTTTGGTAATGCCACAGTCCCTTCTCCATTCTCCTTTCGGGATTGTGGCCATGTACACACACACACACACACACACACACACGTACATATATGTGTGTGTGTGTATAAATGTGTATATATATATATAAATATGTGTGTGTATATACATATAAACACACACAACATACAGAAATAAAATGAATTAATGATACTGTTACTATTCCAGGAAGAAAATTAATGTTCACTAAATTTACCTCTTTAAAATCCTAATATAACTACATAATATAATATAACTATTTCCAAAACAATTCTCACATAACTAAATTCAAGCCACAAATTAAAAATTATTATTATGTCACTGAATAAGTATTAATACTTTTTATATGTATTCTACATTATGTATTATAATGCCTTGAACATAGTTGACACTCAATAGTTATTTGATTAAAGTAGACTTACCAAAAAGAAAAATAAATTTGAGGTGTAAAAACTGGTAGGTCAGGCAATTTTCCAGAAACACTGGGTTATTGAATGCCAGCAGAAATGGGGAAGACCAATGGGATATCAAAGGGAAAAAGCTCCTGAGAATTCTAATGTGTGTAAAAGGTCTACGAGTGCATTCCCATTACCTGCTAGGTTTTGCCTTGTTTTAGAGAGTTCACAAAGTGTAAGACAATAGTGCAAAATATGTGATTTTTATGCCTTACTGCTTCCTATTATATGTCTTAACCTTGTGGTGGTGATAAAGTACATAGTAAATACATTTTAGAGTCTTTTCTGGCTAACAATGTGATGCCACAGGCATTAAATGTTAAACCAAGTCAACTAGATTTTTTTCCCAAAAAACAAATGTAAAAAAAACGAGATTACAAGAAAGCTGGGTGAAAGGTATTTATAGAGATAAGCATCAAGATGACGATAATAAAAGTAACTTCAAAAAGAATGCATTTAAAAGTAGTTCAATGAAAAGTACCTAACAAAGATTAATGGAAGAACCTCCAAAACATTATAGGGTTTTGGTTTGGGTTAGGGTTTTGTTCATTTATTTATAAGTACATCTTCAATCTTATTTCATTTCAAAGATCCATTTGTGCTGTTTTCTTAAGATCTTGGGAGATGTACTATATGGGGTATTTTAATTACAGTAAAAGAAAACAACCCTATCTAGTTAAAGCATATTGCTTGTTTAGAAATGATAATTTTTCTAAGAGAAAATGATACGTGATTAAAATAAAAGATGTTGTCAGTAAGAAGAAAACCTTTTAGAACACTAGGCAAAATTTTTTTTTAATAAAACGTCAAAAGCACAGATAACAAAAGCAAAAAGTAGACTGTAGACCTCATATCAAACTAAAAAGCAAAGAAAACAATTATCGCTGATGAGACAACCTTCAAAATGGGAGAAATACTTTCAAATTATTCTACAGACAAAAGATTAATATTCAGAATATATAAGCAACATGAACACTTCAACAGCAAAAAGCAAAACAAACAAAAATCAGTAAAAAAATCGGCAAATGGGGACCAGCAGGTGGCATGGTGGTTAAAGCGTTGGGCGCTCCCACATGGCCAACCACAGTTTGAGTCCTGGACCTGGTGACCTGCTTTCTCACTCTCATAAATAATTCTTAAAAAAAAAAAAAATAGACAAATGACAACTCTCAAAAGAAGACATACAGATGGCCAGAAAATATATGAAAAAATAGTAACATCACTAATTATCATGAAAATGCAAATAGAAAACACAGTAAGATATAAAAATAATACTGATAAATCTATTAATTATTTTTAAATACTTGCATAAAATACAGGTATGTGTATGGGTCAATATGAAGCTTATATAAACTCTTAAAAATGTTACTTAGAAACCAATTGTTATTTTGTTTAAAAGAAAAAAAAACTTATTTTTGTTCTAGTAGAAACTTGGCCCTCCTTATTTTATTCTTTCCCAAGTATGTTCATTCTATTTTATTTTTTAGTTCAAAATGGTTCAGAAAAAGGCAAAATATCCAACAACATAGACCATAATACTGAAATACACCATTTTTATATTTCTAAAGGTCCAAATTTGACTAAAATATTTTTATCATTCTATTTTGTTACTTCACACTAGCTTATAAATGATCATTTATAAAGCTATAAGACAATTTCTTTTTTTTTGGAGAGGTTTTTGCTATAGGGCACGTGCGCTCGCCAGACAGAGAGAGACAGAAAGTGAGAAATCACCCCCCAGGGGGAATGGCCACACTGCAATCCCTTCTCCTCCATTCTCCTCTTGGGATCTTGGGCACGCTCGCACAAGCGCTCGGTGTGAGTTTTAAGCCACCGGGTCTGGGACGCGAACCATGGTCGACTACGTGGGAGTCCAGCGACATAGCCATTACGCTAACTGCTGGTCCCAATAAAGCTATAAGACAATTTCATGTTAATTTCAAGATTGTCTTTTATGATAGTCATGACAATTTTTGTTGTCTGAAGTCTAGTTCCATGAACAGCAAACAAAGCCAAGCAAACATAGAAGAAAAGATCTTTAAATTGGATTTATAAATGTTCTTATATCATCATGACTTAATAGGTTATTTATTTCTTTCCCAACTTCAGAATTCAGCTTTCTTTAAGAGTTTTCCTTTCTATAATGTCATTGAATTTTTTTACATGTTTTATGATAGCTTGTATGTGTTTCCTTCTAGAAACAACAGCACCGCTAAAACATATTCTGTTCTTTTTATATCGTCTTTGTAGAATTCAGATAACATTTACCATCTATTTTTGATAATAAAGATGCCACAATTAAGCATCAAGATTTTTAAGAAGCTTTGACATGTAAATAAAAGAACCACAGCTCTGTCAACCAAGCAGTGAAATAAGGAAAGACCTTCATTGACTATAATAGTTCTAACGTGAGTCACTTAAAATAGATATTACAAGTCAGACAGGGTTATTTATATTTTTGAAGTGATTCATTGTTTTTGAGATTTTTATCAATTCTAGCCATATATACTACATTTTTAAAATATTTAAATAGCACTTTTAAATTGCTCATCTAAGAATTGAATTGTTAAATTATCATAGTTCTATAAATAATTTACTGTCCACCGAACAGTTTACTGTGTCAGTATTTGAAGCATTATCATCTTGACTTGCACAAGACAGTGCTCATGAGAAACATGTGAATATTAAAAACAAGATCAAATAAACTCTCGAGTTACTGTTACTTCAAATATACCTTATTAATTCTTGTATAAAGAATACATTCTTGGGCCAGCTGGGGGCATGGTGATTAACATGACTGTATCCCACATTGCTGACTGTGTGGTTTATGGTATAGATCCAGGAACTTGGAAAACATGCCAGGGGTCATGTGTATAGGTGTGCATGACCAGAATCTTGAGTGAAGAGTGGAAAAGAGAGACTGCGGAGAGGCCATGCCATTTGGGAGTTGCTGTCTTACTATCCACACTCCCCTCATTTCTCTCCAGTGAGCCCATGCATCCTCTAGAAAATTTTAAAAACAAAACCACTCTCACTCTGTGAGGACTGTACTCCATCTCACTTTGTCAACATCTCTGTGACATTCAGATTTTCCTATACCTCTTCCACTTACAGCAAAACTTAAGAAAAGAGCCTATTTAACAGAGTGAGGATAAATGAGAGTCAAAAGAATAGTTTCCAAAAGGTCAGCTAATCCTTGAGTAATTTCATATACACAAATACAAATATACATAAATGGGCATGCATATTTCAACCTATGAAAAATAAATACTTGTGATGTCCCACAAATCTCCTTTAAATAATGTGTAGGTTTTCAAAAGACAATTGCTTTCCTTTCTTTTTTTGTGACAATATTGGCCTTTTTATGATAATTCTAAATAATCTACAGTCCAAAATGACAGAAAAGGAGCAGGAAAGAAAAGAAGTGGCCAGTTTCCAATTATTATCTGATTAATCCTCTGACTCGTGTAGTCCTCAGCCTGTCAGAAAAAAAGACAGACTTGCTAGATATGATGGACTACACCCTGACAGAATCTTTTGTTGATCTTAGGGCAACAGCAACTGTGCTAAACTCAAGGTGCCAGTCACTATGACATTGTTATACTTGGTCTTTTCCTGGTACGCTTCTCTATCTCTTATCTTCTGCCTGCAAACACAGTCCCTGCCAGGTAGAAGAACATAGCTACCAGGTACAATCAAGCAGGTCTGCCTTTGTGCACCATGATGTCACTGTCCACTCACAAAGAAAAGAGAGAGAGCTTTACCCGTAGGAAGGAGAGGTCCCGGTTGTGCTCGATGCTAGTGATCTCCAGGTTGCCCATGACGACCTCACAGTTTTCATAGTATTTGCGCAAGGCTCGGTACTGCTGTTCCAGGTCAGAGAGAGAGCTCAGTTTATTCTCTGTTCCTGCACACACTGCAAAGACAAGAACACATGCAGGAAGTTATGACACCTTTATACAATATGCACAATGATATCTACTTAAAAACTCTATTTCAAAGCAGTCTATCCAAGTCCCTGAATTAAAATACTTCAAACAGCATTAAAAGTCATAGATTCACACTTCCTTACTTCTAAGTTGCCTGTGTCAACCGTAGACACATGGTAAGAAGGCCTGTGTTCCATAGAAACCCATAGCAAGAAGATGAAACAATTCCATTTGCTGTGAATATAAAGCATATAAGTACATTTAATTCCATTTAAACACAGTTTTATTCAGGATTTATAATTTTCTCTATTTCATAAGAGGGTAACTTTACATATTTAAATAAAACAAAATTAGAAGAGTTAAAGTTACCATTTTATTTTTTAAATGATATTTGTCTATTTGGAGAATTCTTGAATCTGTTCATATGTGAACATATGAATGCCTATGCATGTGTGTTTTTTGGTATGTGTATGTGGGGAGGGGATTAACATCTTTTCTGTTTTTCAGAAGTCAGACTTTTGGTCATTCTCAGTAATTATGTGCCAGCCTTTACTCTTTAATATAACAACTCTAATCTCAATAGAATAACAAGCTAAATTATGGATTTTGTAATAGTATCTAAATTCAAGAAATAAATGACAAATAATCTTTGAATAAGTTACATAATATACACTGGATCTAATGCAAAATATAAAGGGTAAACTTCAAAGTCACAGGAAACAAAGCTTGGTAATGAAGGCATCTATACACAGAGACAACAAAGAAGTCATGATGCCTGATGTGATATTCAAGGGAATGTGCAAGTATAGAGGAAGGGAAAAAAAAATCTAACTGGATGTATCCCAACACATAGGACCATATTAAAGTCTGTTTCTGGCTTAGACATCATAAAAAATTGCCACAAATCTTGATCCAAGAGTCTTAAAGAACAGGTGTTTAACCATAGTGGAAGCTCATTGTAAAGACAAAAGCAAAACACAATTTTGTTAGGCTGAATCTCTAAAATTCATCAAAAAGTATATATTCTAGGGAACCAGCAGTTAGCATAATGGCTATTTAGCTGGGCTCCCACGGAGTTGACTGCGGTTCGCGTCCTGGACTCAGTGGCTTAAAACTCACGCTGGGCGCGTGTGCGTGCATGCCCAAGATCCTGAGAGGAGAATGGAGAAGGGATTGCGGTGTGACCATCCCCCCTGGGGGGTGATTTCTCGCTTTCTGTCTCTATGTTTCTCTCTGTCTGTCTGGCGAGCGCACATGCCCTAAGGCGAAAACCTCTCAAAAAAAAAAAAAAGTATATATTCTAGAAATACTGTTATGAATTGAATTGTATCCCTCTATCCCCCTAAAAGATATATTGAAGTCCTGACCCCCCCTCCTCCATTCCTGTGAAGGTGATCTAACTTGGAAGTAGAATCTTTGTAGACATAATCAAGTTAATATGAAGTACTCAAGATGGATTTTACTCCAATATGATCAATGTGGTAAGAAGAAGAAAATGCCATGTCAACGCAAAGACTAAGCAAAGTGATGCAGCTGCAAGCCAAGGAATGCCAACAATTGATGCCACCTCTACCAACTAGGGTGAGGCAGGACTAGCAGATGGCATAACAGTTCAGTCACTAGATTTCCACATGGCCAACCGTGGTTCAAGCCTTGGACCCAGGAGCTTAAAACTCACAACGGGTGTGTGTGTGTGTGTGTGCATGTGCCAAAGAGCTCAGGAGGAGAATGGAGGAGAAAGGATTACAGCATGGCTATCCCCCCTGGGGGGGGGGTGATTTCTCACTTTCCCTCTCACTGTGTCTGTCTTCTCTCTCTCTCCCGCAAGTCATGTGCCATACATAAGGCAAAAACTTCTAAAAAATAAAAACAAGAAAGAAAAAAAGAAAGAAACTGGGAAGAGGCAAAAATAAGAATCTACCTAGAGTCTCAGAGGGAACATGGAAGGACTTTGGAAAATAAATTGTTGTGGTTGTAAGCCATCTCTCCTTGGTACTTTGTTATGCCAACATTAGGAAAACAATATAATCATCTTTAGACTATTTCTCGCTAAAATCTCACATGTTAATAAATGTTATAAACCACGTCCTCTCTCTCCAGGGTCCTATCAGTTTATCATCTCAAGCTACTGTCCCCCTTTTCCCTCCTGAGTGCCAAGTCCCTCATACACCCTGCTAGAAGTCACTTAATGCAGTTGAGAATGCAATTTTTGTCTAGTGATATGTATGAATGCAATGAAAAACACTTCTAGAATCCTCACAATCCATTATCATGTTTGTTCCTAGTAGCAAACCACACAATATTTAGTTAGGCTGTGGCCACCCAAAATAAAGATTGCATTTATCTTTCTTAGAGGTCAATTTGGCCAACAAACTTAGATCTAACATGCATTGTTGTACCTTCTGAGAACTTTAACTCCAACCTAAACATGGCTGGAGCCTGACTGCCTCCTGTCTTCATGCTTTTTTCCAGTCTACTGCCAGGAATGTAGATGGGCTTGCTAAAACTTGAACCACCCTCATGGACCATTAGAATGAAGGACACACTTTAGTGATGGCCACAAATTGAGCCACCAGAAACCAGAAATTTCAAACAATTCATGTTTTACATAGTCATGTTATCATTAACATCAAGTTAATGATGAATATTGGTCCTTGCTGCTAAAATATTGTATGGAGAAAGGATTACATTCTAGTTAAGTTATATGGTTTTGACCTGGTACATTTTCTTGCCTTTTTAAAAAATTATTTCACTTAACTTTATTTATTTATTTTAATTTGACCAGAGAGGAACAGAGTAAAAGAGAGAGGGAAAGTGAGAAAGTCTGGGACTTGAACCATGGTCAGTCATATGGGAGTCTAGCAACCTTAATCACCACACCACTTGCTGGCTCCTATTTTTCCTCTCTTTCTCTTTTCTTTTTTTTTTTTTTTATTTTGAGATTTTGCTATAGGGCACATGTGCTTGCTGGAGAGACAGAGAGAGACGGAGAGACAGAAAGAAACAATTCACCCTCCAAAAGGGATGGCCACACCACAATCCCTTTTTCTCCATTCTCTTCTTGAGATTTTAGGTACACACACACATGTACCTGGTGCATTTTAAGCCTCGAGGTCCAAGACTCAAACTGCAGTTGGTCACATGGGAGTCCAGTTTCTTTACCGCTAAGCCACCTGCTGGCCCCTTGACCTCGTAATTTTAACTACTCATTCATAATGAAACCATAACATCATTCAGATCATCTGAACATTTTACTAGTTCTGCAGAAGTCTCTTCTACTATTAAAACTAGCAAAAAATAAGAAAAATAAATTTTGGTTGATAAGTACAATAATAGTCAACATAAGCAAGAGAATGAGAAACACTTGATTCACAAAAATATTCCTTAGAAGTCAAGATCAAAGTCCGGGTGTTTTTAAATTTTCAATTATGAGTTAGAAGGTCTTTTAGAAACACCCTTTATCTGTGATCTTTATTTTACTGATCCCAGAAAATTGATAACAAAATATTTATATACTTGTAAAATGTCTGTTGAGAAATGGTACTACTATATGGTTTCATCAAATATAGATTTTAATTATTTTAAATCCCAATGTGGACAAATATATTTCAACACACTTTTAGGAGTTATTAAGATGAATTAGTGAACCTAATGGCACCATCTCTAAAATACATCCAATGCCGCATTACAACTTACATACAGCTAGGATTGTGTGAACTTCTTTCAATGGAAATAAAGCATGCACTTTAACTCAAATCATAAAAAAATTAATATGTGATCATTCAAATAACATGGTTTCCAACATATTCTCATCTTTTCTATAGAAGTTTAAATGAACTTTTGAAGACACTTCTACTAGTATAACTGCAATACTACATATTTTTCATGTTTCTCATTCTGTATGTATAAGAAAAAAAGAGGTATAAAATAATTTGAATCTGAGTAGCTTTCAGTCCATAGCAAATTGTCATTGTTGATATCTTTCAAGTATTCTGTATATTTTAAATGTTTAGAATTATAAACTCTCTTAATAAACACATGCTACCTTATATTATAAAATCTGTTTATATAAGATACCCCAAAATGGCTAAACGCTTTGAAAACAGGTGCAGCATATTAATAATTTTATATCTGCTGCATTATACAACATTTCACATTATAAGAAATTATCACTGAATAATAATCATTTAATTGATAGTAAAACAAGTTTATTCGGGAAATGGATCTTAAGTCAATAGAGTTTCCATTAGTCGATAAATGATGAGCTCTGTTTCATATATAGTTTATTAAAATAGAAAATCAAAAGAATGTGTAGAAGTACATTTTAACAAGAAAAATCTTCCAATCAACCGAAAATCAGAATATTCTATTCACCAGTCATTCTAGTCTTTGGAGATTAACTACATAATACTCAATTTAGGAAATATTTGTCTCACTGAAGCTTTCCCTAACATCTATGTGTGATTCAAAATATCTAAATCTATCATATACCCATCATAACTTTTATCTTGAAAGACAGACTGTATTTGAAAAGAACCAGTTTGGATAGATGCATAAAAATCATTTGTAGTTCTCTTCATGAAGCCTTCACCGGGTGTCTCACAACTTCCATTTGTCAATTGATTTTACAATCAGGTAATGTATACAAGACAATCAAGTTTCATTGATTTCACAATGCTCTTGATCAAAACAGAATTGAAAAATCTACCCCAGCCTAAACAAGTCTAACGAAATGCAGCCTTCTTTGTCAACACTGTTGTTCTTAAACTATAAACTTACAATAGTTGAAGCTTTAAAATTCCTAAATTTACATGCATGTGTTCCCTAGAGTTTTCGTTCCAAATATAACTCCAGGAGTAAAGCTATATGTGAGCTCTAAATAAAATCACCAATTATTCTATTGACTAATACTGAGTATTGATTCCATTGCAAATGTAGCTATACTTGTAGACACAGACCTCTTATTCTCCTTGATTTAAGATTTATG